CCCCAAAACCCCAAAACCCCAAAACCCCAAAACCCCAAAACCCCAAAACCCCAAAACCCCTTATAAAAATTTAAAAATTGAATTCTAAATATTTGCCTCGATCGATGAGAGTTTTCAGCATTTTTTAGCGAAGAAAGAAGAATTAGAGAATTTATTATTCAAAACAAACAGCTTAACTGCTTACATAGCTCCAAGAGCTCCATTTTCATCTTCGAATAACTCCATTTCGTCAAGAAGGTGTTGGATGATCTTTTGGAATTCTGGATGGGTCACTGATGATTTGACTTTATTGAAAATAACATCTCTAGAGACATTGGATACACCTCTTGCTGAATTCTCATTGATAATCTTGGTGGCTTCAGTCTTCACAAACTGTGTCTTGTCTTTCTCATTCATTTCACCTTTAACATTATTTGCTTCTGTTATATCCTGACTTGACAAGACTCCCTTCTTTCTAACACAACTAGCTACGAACACTTGCAAGAGGTGGTTAGTAATGTAGTTGAAGTCATCAATGGCTTCTAGGTGAACTCCTACAACCTGTCTGACGTCCTTAAAGTTCTTGGCTTGCCCAAAGACCTTCACATAACATCCTTCCTCATATTTGAACTCTTCAAGATATTTCGGGAGGTAATTTCCTCCTTTATAGAATGTTACCTTCATTGTCCCGGTATTATCATTAAGTAAATAGCTAACTCTTGTAGGTTGGTCGTCTCTCTCATAAAGTCTGCCTACAAGGATCACATCATTAATCTCCTGATTGTCCACATTAAAGTTATCCTCTGAATCCACACTGGCAGTCATGAACAACTTAAGCGTGACTGGGGTGAACATCTTCTGTTTCTTCTTCTCACCATCGTTGAACTTGGGTTTGTCTTTTTGGACTTCGTTGTCGTCTACTTCGAAAAAGCCTGCACTCATGTTTGATTTCCCGCAAATTAAATTTATAAATTTGGTCAGTCTTGATTTATATAGTAGGGGTTTTGGGGTTTTGGGGTTTTGGGGTTTTGGGGTTTTGGGG